ACTTTATTTCATTCAGAGAAAAGGATTTTGTATCTGAAATGGGTAATTTTGATTGCTCCAGTCTTGGATTTGTTTGTAGTTTCTGCTTTTCGATTAATTAGCTTATGTTGATTTCCCCAAATGTAATCTACCTTAACCTTTATACATACTCAATTTTGCAGCAAATTTCATTCTTGATGGTTCAAAGAACATTGATTCTAGATAAGTAGATATGGAAAGCTTTTACCTTTTCTGATATTTTTTATGGGTTATTTTGTGATTTGCATCACTTATTTTTGGGTTAATAATATAGTCTGTTTTTGCACGGATTGTTTGTTGATTCTGTTCTGCTGCTTTTCCTTATTGCTACCCCTATTACCCCACTTACCAAAATAATCATAGCTTAAGTATAAACTGATACTAACATTTTTCACTTGTTTCATGATCAGAATTCTTTCTGTTATTGCGATTCCTGTTGTAGAATACATGATGATCGATGATATTCTTAGTGGAAATAATATTAATTTTCCTGGCAAGTCTGTTAGGAGACAATTAATTAGAGGGTAACCATTTCGGCCAAAAAGAAAAAGTGTAATGAATGCTACTGAATTCTGGATGGTTTCTGTATTTGTCCATATATATGCGACAGATTGAATTCAATAGAATATTGCTAGTTTGTCACATTGGAAAGAAAATAATAAAAATAAAACTCTGTTATATCATAGAAAACTTCATTTTTTTGGCTAACTTTAAATGCTCCATTGAGTTTTTGTAATTTGCAGCCTCAATCACCATGTAGGAGCTACACGATGGAGGCTATTGGACCGCTTTGTTGTACAAAGGATGGTGTCTATATTGCTGGTGCAGCTCCGTCTGGGAATGCTTATATTTGGGAGGTAAGCAACTATCCCTCCTGAGCAGTAGAAGAAAACACAACCCTCAATTTTGCATTCATGATTACATTTGGTTTTTGTATCAAGAAGCAGTTATTTTATTCATTTAATGAGTTTTGTTAAGAAGATGATAATTTGGCAATTACATTGAGCTGATCATTGTTGCTGTCTACATTATATTTTTATTTGCCTTTTGTTCATAAATGGGTGTCAGTTCCTCAAATTATGGCACCAAATAACGGTGCTTTAGCTTCAATGTGGTGTAGGAGGATAACACCTGTGCCAATCTGCTCTGATACTATTGGAAATATGTAGGTTTCTAGTGGAAGATTGCTTAAAACATGGCGTGCTCATCATAAGTCATTCAAGTGTATGGTCTTTTCTGACGATGGCTCTCTTCTTTTTTGTGGGTCTGAAGATGGTATAATCTATGTTTGGTCTATGATTAGGTAAATATGTTTTCTTTCTATGCCAAACTTGGTTTGCAACAAAAATGATGCATCATGCTGACCTATTTGATGGAAGTTTGCTAGATGTGGATGATTCTGGGAGCTTTCCTTCTTTGCTACATTACTTGTCAGAGCACAGTTCATCTATAACTGGGCTATTAACATTAACAAGATCATGTGGCACAAATTCAATTTTTATATCAAGCTCACTTGATGGGACATGCAAGGTCAGTTTGTTCATTCAGATTCAGGCTGGAGTGGTTATTCTTCTTAATTGTAACTTCTTATTCAAGGGCACAAAATTCCATAATTTATAGGTTTGGGACCTAATCTCAGGAAGGCTTTTACAAACTCAAGTTCATCCTACATCAATAACTGCAATCACTCTTCATCCAGTAGAGCAGATTTTGTTTTCTGGTACAATGGATGGAAGAATAATTGTTAATGAGCTTGATGTTGGAGCAGGGGAGGATTCTCTCATTGTCAAGGAAGATCAAGCACTCTTTCCGGAAGGACACAAGTAATGTGTAATTTATGGTGCTTGAAGTTATTTAAATTCCATGCTGACTTAAGTAAATTAAACACCTAGAAATGGAGTGACTGTGAATTTGTTAATTCAAATTGATTCTATTTAAATTCTTTTTATATCTACATCTGGAAAGATAGAATCCCCAATTGTTTCAAGGACCTATGAAATCAACATAAATTTTTAAAATGGATTTCCCTTTCATATCTGATCCAGCTTGCCTATTACTTTGCATGATCATCTATTTGGACCAAACAACCAATGTTTTACTTTTGAAAACCCATATTTGATGACAATGAAGGAATGGGTTTCAATTGATTTATCTATTCGGCTTTCTGTCTCTTGTCTAGATGCATGTGTGCATATATGAATGTTAATTTACTTAAAAAATACTATTTTTCTATCCAGTGGATCCATAACTGCATTGACATTCAGTGGATTGGGACTGATATCTGCATCAGAGGATTGTACTTTCTGTCTTTGGGACATGACCAACAGGGTGATAGTTCGAAGATTCAACCATCAAAAAGGTAACTGCAAACTCTAATCTTTTCATGTTTCATTTACTAAAGAATTTGGTCTAATTTCCAAAGAGAAAAAGAAAACTACAAATGAAAGATAATGGGAAAGAAAATGGCACCTTGCACCCAAGATTAACATGCATAAAAATCACCTTTCAGGGTTAATGCTAATCTAGATAAACAAAACTAAAACCTGAGATATTATATGACTCATATCAGGATATTTAGCTCTCATCAAAATTTTATTTTCAAACGTGAACAGGTGCTGTGACAAATGCGTTAGTGATTAAACTATCCTCATTGTTTCCCATGCCAAACCAGCTAAGAGTTTCCAATCAGTTCCGTATTTCTTTGCTTGAAAAGTGTCCTCCATCAGCTAAAATGAGCAGAGGAATGGTTGCTTCTCTTTCTTGGTGTCTTTCCCCCAATGAGCTAACTTCCACTGAATTCCAGAGAACCAATTTGTTAGACCACCAAATATTCCATTCAGAGGTCTTTCACCATTTTCCTCTGTCAAGCATAGACGATTTGGTGTTTTCTGTTCCTGCTATTTATTCTTTGTTGGACTGTTTCAGCCAATTTATACAAGGGAAGGCTCACAGCCACTAATATTGTTACATTGAACTCTCTTGTTTTGAAATGTGTGCAGCAACAACGGACACCTACAGCTATGCAAATGAAAGTTGAGAGAAGTATGTCTGACCGGATTTGGGCAACAAGTATGACAAAGCATGTTATGGAGATAAATAGGCATTTACAATCACATTTGCTGAACCTGATGGAAAGCCGCCTGTCAAGGCCTCATGAAAACAGTAAAAGGAAGAAGCCCATGATTGAAAATCCAGAAGATTTGGAGAAGCAGTCTCAGTCATCAGGTTAACCTTTTCGGTTTGAAATAAGAGTGTCTTTGAGATTTTGAACCTTCTTTAGTTTATAACTCATAATCATGACATGACTCATAAGCATCCTTTTTTAATATATATACTCCTCCCTTGTGTTTTTATGTACGTAGATTTTGAACCTTCTGCAAGGTCGTTTTGGAAAGCCATCGACCTGCACGTTCATTCATGAAGACATTCTTCCGATCTTCCATATTTGCTTGTTTGGGGAAAAGAGGGGGGAGGGGGGAGGGGGGGGAGGGTGGTGTTAAAAACCAATGTTAGTTTCATACTTATTATTTATATTTCCTTTGATTCTTGGGCTAATTTGGTGGACTGGTATTCTGGTCTACAAGAAGCAATTTGATGATTCCGTGCTATGGCCCTACAAGGGCAGATGAGTATTTTGCCCTTCAATATCTCTACCAAATAAGGCTAGATCCCTAGTAAAAGTAATTTCCAAATTCTTTCTCTTATCCTTGATCCCACTCCTTATTCAGTGCAGTGGTATGACTAATGTGACTAATGCCACTGTAAGCCATTGGTCCTTGGCCTTGAAACTCCTGTTTTATCCCCAGCCATGAAGCATGAGCAGAGCTATGGAATCCGGTGGCTTCTCAAACCAATGTAGTTCAATCTCTAAATGACCGAAATGGGATGCCAGCCAATCTGCACCGAAATTTGCCTCACGACAACCGTGGTGGAAGTCAAATTGTCAATCCCTTGCTAACAAGGATTGAATTCCTTTGAGGTAACAACATTGATCATGCTCATCAACACATCCCTGTTCCTCAGCAACCACTGCTGGAATCTGATTCTATCACCACCTTTCTAAAACGCAATGTCTAGGCAGCTTGCGAACCATGCAAAATAACCATAAGTTCTGTATGAGCACAGTTCCCCTGCCTAGTTTGCAGGCGAAACAAAAAAACCAGTCGCCTTGACTGTTCCGTCCTATCCCACTTGCTGCTAACTCTCCAGATTCCCAAGCCATATTAACTCCCTCTAACCGATTGACCAGCTCGATGGTCAAGTGACTCTGAGTAGCTATACTTACCATGAAAATCTAGAAAAGCAGGGATAAGGCATGATAAAAACAGATCAATTATTACTAGCAAAATTTATAACTGCGGACGTGGATTGCAAACAAGCCAATATCAAATCCAACATAGTTTTCGGCCAACAAAAAAAACTGCAACATAGAGTTTCATCAGATGCCTTTCTCTAGCATTGCCCTAACTTTCATTGGAAGACCATAGAGCCTTATAAACCCAGCAGCATCAGCCTGATCATAAATCTTTCCACTCTCAAAAGATGAGATATCCTGCCTGTACAGACTGTAGGAACTCTCCCGGCCAGTGACACAGACAGATCCCTTGTATAACTTGAGAGTGACGGAACCACTGGTTGTCTCTGTGATCTTCTCCATAAAGGCATCCATGGACTCTCGAAGCGGGTCAAACCACCTTCCAGCATAAACTAACTCAGCATATTTGAGCGCTAGAGAATCTTTGACTTGCATGGTTTCTCTATCAATTGTCAAAGATTCCAACTCTCGCACAGCAGTGAAGAGGATGGTCCCACCAGGAGTTTCATATACTCCACGGCTTTTCATACCTACAAGCCTGTTTTCAACCATGTCAACACGGCCAATACCATGCCTCCCACCAATCTCATTCAGTTCGGCAAGAAGTGATGCTGGGGAAAGTTCCTGTCCATTAAGTGAAACAGGAAGCCCAGAAACAATTCCAATTTTCACATATCTGTAGGAGTTCAGGGTGTGAAAGAAAAATGTTAAACATAATTTCAAACTATGAGAATGATAAATACCATATCATTAAGGCATAGGAACATACTCTGGTTTATTAGGTGCATCTTCGGGATCCACAGTCATCATGTACATATCTTTTTTTGGCTCATTCGCTGGGTCCTCCAAAATATCTCCCTTCAAGTCACAGTGCACTCACATCAGAGAAAGAAGGAAAACAAGTTATGCCATGAAAAGCAATGTGTAAAATAAAACCATCTGAAAGAGAAAAATAAATAAACTACACCGACAATTTTAAAAACAACTTTATTTCAGAAACAAATTCTATTTTTACCTCATGACTCAAGTGCCATAAGTTCCTGTCTCTGCTGTATATTGATTTTTTTGTCACTGGAACAGGCACATTATGCTTCTTAGCATATTCAATGGCATCTTCTCTACCCTGAATATCCCATTCCCTCCAGGGAGCCACGACATTTAGTTCAGGATTTAGAGCAAAGAATGTAAGCTCAAAGCGAACCTGAAAAGATTGATTATGTTGGTGAGGTTGTGTTTCAAAATATAAATGAGAAGTTATTATGATAACTACAGATTAATCCTGGACTGGGAAGGGTGATTATAATATCTAAGAGATTAATAAAGGAACATGCCTGATCATTTCCTTTCCCTGTGCAACCATGAGAAACAGCATCAGCTCCAACTTCTCTGGCAACATCCACCATGGCCTGTCATATCCACTCAACAATTTTCAAGACAAACAGAAAAAAAAACAAGTAGAAACATATAAAGAGAATGATGAAAATATTTAAAACAAAGATAAAAACAAATATAAACATATTGCAGAGACAGACAGGAAGCAAAGTGCTAAAAATTGTATAAAAATCAATTAAATAAAAAGTATTTTTTTTTCTATTATTTAAAATGATCTAGCCTAGTAAGAAGAACCCAAACTGAAAGAAATAACAGCATTTCCTCTTGCAAAATAAAAATTAATCAAGGATGAAAATGAAAAAACAAAAAGACCTTGGAGAATGAGAACATTTATCAAATGTGGAAAATAGAGTAATTATTTATTTTTCCTATTTCCATCTCACATGTTTGACCAATTTTCCATAAGCCAATTAACTTAACTTACCAAGCATATACTCTAGGCAACTTAGAGGTATTTCCATACCAATTAATATACAACCATGAAGAACATGATTAATGTAATAATGGTTCACCTTTGCAATAACAGGGCGGGCCATTGAGGTTCCCAGCAAGTATTTCCGTTCATAGATGGCACCAGCTCGCAAGCAAGGAAAAATGAAGTCACGCACAAATTCCTCCTTCAAGTCCTTCACGACTAACTGACAAGCTCCACTTGCCTTTGCCTTCTGTTCCAAACCCTCCAATTCCTTTATGCCCTGAAAATTTTAAGCTTCATCAAAATACATGTCTAAAGCAAAGATAGCAAATCTTAAAATACATTACAGGTAAATAGAGTAAATTAAAAGTCCAGGAATCGGAGTTGCTGCTGTTTACTTACTTGGCCAACATCAGCTGTGAAGCAAACAACCTCACAACCATAATTCTCCCTAGAAAGTGAAACAACTAAGATTTAGTAACAAATATACAAGAGAACATATACTTTAAGAGAAAGAGTGTCTGATTGACTTTGATTTTGATCACCAAAAATACAAGGAGATAAAAGGTTTCAATGTACGTAATTTCAACAAACATGAGAAAAACAGATCAATTGTCCATTCATAAACAGTAGAACACACAATAAGTATAACTGAGGAAGCTCTCCAGATATTTTCCCAGTTTAGAGAAGCAAATTTTTAGCAGGTCCAGTAAATTAATATAGTTTACAGAAACGTATTTGGTATTTCAGCACTCAAACATTGAATTTTACTCATTGCAAACCCAATACTACTACCACTTGACAAATAAAAATCATATTTCTAGATTCTCCGTCTGTTAAGGTTAACTGAGCCAGTCATTCCAAGGCAAATAGCTTAAAGGCAGTTACCTCTTACAATATAGAAGATAACATTAAACATGAATTATACCTTAGCCATGGCACAATAACAGATGTGTCCAAACCACCACTATATGCTAAAACAACCTTATTTAATTTCCCTCGCAGTCCTCCACTCTTCTTCTCCGTGGAAATTCCCACTTCCCCATCACTGGAAAAAACTGCTTGAACAACTGCAATTGAAACCAGGATCTCAAGCTCAACAAATCACACAAAAGTCAAAACAGGAAAACCTTAAATGAAAAATGCACGTTAAATATATGTATAAATGAGAAAAGAAAGAATCAATAACATTATCTTCTTTTCCCCTTTTTCTTTCAGATATGGAGTAACAAAATCTGCAAAAAATAAATATGATACTGCATAATGCCACCTAACAACTTATTATAAATCTACCCCAGACGACCAACAGTATAATGACCATATCCAGCTCCTTCCGCTCAAAACTACAAGTCTAGCCATGACAACAGCACTAATATCACCTTTCCTATTATCTGGTCGGGTAACAGATAAAGTTTTCTGCGGAATTACATGGCCAACGAGCGAAGTCCTCCTTCCACTCGACTGTATATGCACATTCAAAAATAATGAGACTAAGAATCAAACCCACATAAGAAGATGGAAAAGTTACAAAGAGACTAAGAATCAAACCCAGATACGAAGATGGAAAAGTTACAGACTTCACAATAAAAAATACCTCTTTGAAGGAAGATTTTCCCAGGAAACACAGTTTATGATTAATCTCTGTGGCTGCTAGTACAACCAAAATGAAACGAGAATCAAAATGACACCAAAATCGAAACAGGAACAGAAACAGGAATAGAAACAGGAGAGACATATTTACCTTCTCTTTGGGTGTGAACAGCTAGATTGGGGAATGAACTTGAAGCCATTGCCTTCAATTGATCCATGCTTCTCTATATCTCCTCTGCTTTTCTCCCTTTTTCCTTGTCTCTCTCTATTGCCGTCACCCTAGTAAACCTTAGTCCTCCTTTCCTCCGCACTGTGGCGGCTGACTGTCAATTATTTTATTATTTACTCGAGATGACTGCAACTCCATCACGCTTAATTTAATTTTTAATTTATTATTTATCACTTGATTTCATTTTAATCTAAAAATTATGTTTTATTTCTAAGTGATTTATTAATTTTTAAATTTATTTTAATTTCGTCTACTTGATAAAAGATAAAAAAAACTTCTTATTTTGTTAATGACCAATTAGTCCTTTGATTATATTTTTTGTGATCTTTTAATCTTTAAATTTATATTTGTTATAAAAATAACTTTTTTACTTAAAATTATTATTTATAGATTCTAATATTAGATTTTTATACGAGTTTTCCTATTTCTTTAATTTGGTATCAAAGCCTAAAAGTTAATAAATCACTTTAAAATAATAATTTTAAATATAAAAATTTGGTATCAAAGCCTAAAAATAATAATTTTAAGCATAAAAGCTAATTTTATAACAAATATAAATTTGAGGACTAAAAGATTAAAAAAATGTAATTAAAGGATTAACTATTCTCTAACAGAATATGAAGTTTTCCGTTATGTTTAACTAAGTAGACGAAATTGAAATGAATTTGAAAGTTAATAGACCACTTAGAAATAAAACATAGTTTTTAGACTAAAATGAAATTAAGGTGATAGTTAATAGACTAAAAATTGAATTAAGCCCTCATTAAATATATTAAGTATTCCCTCAATTTGCTTTTTTATATTTACTTCAATTTTTGTTAACCTTTCACATATGAATTTTAACTTTTTAAGTAAAAATCTAATAATTTATATGATTAATAATTAAAAAGAAATTCATTATTTTTTTTTTGTAAAATACTTTAATTTCGTAAAAAGATTTTAAATTATTACTAATATAATACATTAAATTTTTATTTAAATTTTGTGTTTAAAAAATTAAATTGAATTTATTAAAAATAAATATAAAATATAAAATATAATATAGACATTAATTTTATCAAATTTATTATAATTAGAATGTCTATTTTCTCTTATGTTTTATTATTTTAGGTGGATATAAATAAAAAGTCAAAATTATGACCTTCATTAATTTTGTTAGAGTAACTTAGGGTAACTTTGAGACTGTAAATTTTTTTTAGTGGCATGAGTTTTTCAATATATATGTATTTAATAATTTTTATAGATAATTTTTTTCAAAAGTTATAAGAGGTTATAATAGGTTTATAGTAATTTATAAAATTAAATTCTTATTTTGGAGCTTTTTGATTATACTTCCACAAACAACACTTAATATTTGATTTTTAATATAATTAAAAAATTATACACTAAAATTCAATCCCATTTCATTCCATTACATCACAATTTATTATATTTTATTTAAACTTAATCTTTTATTTGCAAATTCAATAAAAAGATTAAAAACTCATTCCACTAGTCATAAAAGTGTCAGCGTTTTAAGTGTCAACTATGAAATATTAATGCAAATATATGTTTTATGCATCAATACTATTCATGTAAAAAAGTTTGTCAAAAAAAAATTATTAGCATTAACTAAAAACCATTAGTGTAAGTATTGTTGACATAAATAAGGTCAAAAGTCTAGGGCAACTTAATCCACTATGATCAATGTTTTAGAAAAGTTATAAGAATCATAAAAACTAACTAGGTGAATGGTTTAATAATATTTATGTTAACATTTGTGTTGATGCAAATAGATATGGTTGACACAAATACTTTTAATCATACTCAATGCTTTAGTGGGGTGGGGGTGAATAATTCCTTACTATTTGTATCAACACAAGTGTTAACGCAAATATATAAGGTTCACACAAATAATTGTTGTTACTTTCAAAACACAGATCTAATTTATTTTGCCTTGTATTTTTCTGAATTCATGAAAGCATTAGGGGACCACCGCTATTCTCAAATTTTAACATCTATTAAAATTCAATCCCCATGAAGGAGACAAAAATGTTAGGAAACCATTTCTTAAAAGTTTTTAAATTTTTTTTATCAAATTTACATGTTATACATGATGAATCTAACTTCTTTGTTTTTTTTTTTTCTTTGAGATTGTTAATCCAAGTATTTAGTCTATGCAAAAGAGATAAAAGAATAAAAGGGTGTTTGGTGTAGATTGCGAAAATAGCTTTTTGGCTCTAAAAGTACAAGCTTCACCGAATGGGTCAGCTTTTCAAACGTGCTGCAGCTTTCTGGAAGCTCACCTTGTCCCCGTTCCTTTGCAAAGCTCGGAAGCACCAATTGCTTGCTTCCGCAGGAGCTTCTCGCTTCATGTTTAATGAAATTGACATGGTATTCCCATTTTATTCTCACACTTCCTTTTATTTATAAAAAAACCAGTATATAAGGGTTCATTTTATAACTCCTCTTTCTTTCCCCTTTCTTTCTTTCTTTGTCTCTGAAGCAACCAAACGTGCATTGTTCTCCTTCCCTTCTTGCCCTCCTTCTTCCAAAGTAGACTGGAAATATAGAAGCATTGTCAATCACCGGCCTTCTTTCTCCTTAACTACTTCAAAGCAGAAAAGCCCATTTCCCCTCACCGGAAAATCCCCACGAGAAAATCCCCACTAGAAAATCCCCACCAAAATCCCATTTGTCCTCCTTCTTCAGTGAGTCTCCTTCTTTTTCTCTGATTTTTTTTCCTTTTTTTGTGTTTCTACTACTAATTTGGTGGTGATGAATGATAATTGTTGGTTGGTAGTGTGAGTTGGTGAAAGTTTTAATTTTTAATCCCTTGTCTTCTTATAGATCTGGGTGATGTGATGAAGCAGCATGGGTCGGAGAAGCCAAACAAAGCGGCAATATTGGGGGGGAGTGAAGTGGAGGGTGTTCCGGCCACGGGACTTGACAATAACTTTGGATTCTCGAAGCACTTTGGGAGCAAGTACAAGCTCGGGGAGGAGGTTGGGAGAGGCCATTTTGGTTATACTTGCTCAGCCAAGTTCAAGAAAGGGGAACTCAAAGGACAACAAGTTACTGTTAAGGTTATACCCAAAGCGAAGGTAAGCTTGTGGTTCATTATTTTTAGTGCTTACTACTTAGTATATGCTTGATTTCTTGGTTCGACTATATGTTTATGACAATATAGAGATGAGATCTGTTGGTAAACCTTCGCTTTTATCAGTCCTATACTATGATTAGTTTGCTTGATTGAAATTTATTAATACGCAAGAATGGATTGTGTATTGAGTTATTGGTGGCGAAATTTTTTGAATTGGGGACCTTGGATTGGAGATGTAGTTGTAGTATGTTTTGATTTGCCTTTTTTTTTTCAAGATAAAAATTGATTTTTCTTTTTAATACTTTGGAGGAGGTGGAATTGTGCCATTCCATTGTCTGCCTTTTTATTTTCCAATGATTTTTTTCTTTTTAAGACATTAAAGTATCCTTGACTAAATTCTGGATTCAAGTTTTGTGAACTTCTTCTTTAGGCTTTTATACTTTTTTGGTGGGTTAGCTTGATCAGCTTCATTCCAAAACATGAATCTTCTTGGATATTAATGATTGATTAATAATTATAAATGTCTGTTAGAATTGCATTTGTTACAAAAGGTGAATCAATGATTGTGAATTATTACAAGAAATCACATGAAACTAGCATTTGGAGTTTCTATAGAAATGCTTAACAACTTGACAACATGTCTTTGATGATAC